CTAAGAAAGAAATATAGACAGAAAAAAAGAAAGAAAGAAAGAAACGGACAGATGAAACATGACGAATTTCTCTTGCGACGATTCTGCATTACTAGTCTTTCAGCTCTGATTACGGATCTTTTTTATAGTAGAGGGTTTTACGGCGCTCGCAACTGCATAAGGTCATATGAGCGCCAAGGGGTGGGTGTCAACAGACAAGTCATTACAGGGAATCAGATTTACTTAGCTCACCTCTCTAACTTCAACAGCACAAGGTCTGCTTCGACTATCAAGGCACCCTGAAAATAGAAGGTCATAAGAGAGTGACAAACATACAAAAGAAGTAGAGGAAAATGACAATAGTAAGGATTAGGAAAGAAAAAGCAGAAGTTCCCTGTTGTAGATCAGGCAGAGTTATGAGCGTGACAGGACTCAGCCCATTTACAATTCTACTATGCTTGAACGAGAAATGTCCCTCCTTTGGGAATGGCCCCAAGACACCACAGTCAGTGGCACTGCCCCACGGTGAGATTACGAATCTACACAGACTTCAGAAAAATAATATGTTGTTAAAAATTGTGCGCGTTATTACACAGCACATCAGCGAACCGTCTGTGTATCAAGCAATCCACTTAAGTCTGTTGAGGTGATTTTTACACCTGAGACCAAGAAAGAAAAAAAACGCTCGTTTTTGTTATGTTGTTCCTATCAGGAACCAGAAAAGGCAGCCCCCCCCCAAAAAAAAATAAAAAAAATAACAACAAACGAATGTATGCCTTGACCAGAGCACAAAACTGGCATTTTGATGGTGTTAAAAGGTGCCTCTTTAACAGACCTTTGAAATGTGTAAAAATAAAAATGAAAAATTCTCAAAATCTGAGCTTAGGCGCATTGCATTGCGACAGAGGCGGAAAGGAAATCTGACACTCACGCTTGTGCGCGCAGACAAAAAATAAACCCGGAGCCAAAAACACGACACAAGCCCCACACGCCAACCAGTGATCCGTGAGAGTGGTTCTGAAATTCTGCGGTCTCGTTCCCAGCACGAAGCTTGTATATTCTTTTTTTTCTTCTGTATATTCTTTTTTTTCCTTCTGTATATTTTTAAAAGCTATTATATACGCGACAAGGTGGAACCAAACGCTGGTTGATTTTTGGGCATATGTGAGGCAGCGTGGTGGAACCAGGCTCTCGTCAATTTTCGAGCATGTAGAGTTATTGGTATCTTCTTAAAGCTTGTTCCCTTGTGTTTATTAGGATGTATAATATATCCATTATCTTGAATACAAGTCGAGATATTTGCGAATGAAGGAGGTGGGTGTCACCTGTTTTCAGGGGTAAAATTATTGAGAAAATGGTGGCCAAAGATTAGTTATTTCCTTAGCTTAAGAGTCCGTGGTAACTGAAATTTTACATTTTGTGTGCCTTTAATCAAAATTTTTCAGAAAAATCTACGCAGAATTTAGTTCTTTAATGGGCATGAAAGGAAGTGACCCAAAAAACAAAAATTTGATAAACATTCACAAACCTGCGGAAAAAAAGCAAGTTTCTTCACTTTGATTATTTTGACAAGAGCCTGATTACACCACGCTGCCTGACATTTTTTTTTTTAAAGCATTTATATTCGTGACAAGGTGGAACTAAACGCTCGTTGATTTTTGGGCATATAGAGTTTCAGTATCATCTTTTTTAAAATGGTAAAATGGTATTGGTTTAACGCCCTTATCAACACTATTAGGTTATTTCTAAAAGACGAGACCTCCGATGCGACTTTAACGCCCATCTCCGAAAGGACCCAGCCAAAAGAGAAATTCGTATACAGTGCCTCTCCCAAGGACACAACGTCTGACCGACCCGAGGCTCGGACCCAAGAACACGCAGTCTCACGATTACGGGTGGGGTAGCCTATAATAGACCACTAGACTACTGAGGCTACTGCTATCATCTTAAAGCTGGTTACGTTGTCTTGCTTTGGATGTGTGAAGAACTACTCGTCTGCCTTGAATACAAGTTGAGATATTTGCGATTGAAGGTGGTGGGAGTTGACTGGTGTTACAGGTATACTTATAGAGAAACCCAGGATTAAGTGTCATTGGAGACTGCAAGTTTACACTGCTGTGTGCTTTTGATCAAAGTTGTTCCATAAAGTCAGGGGTGGTTCGTGGGGCTAAAAAGTGGACGTGCACAATTAAGCTATCGAATGCTGAAGATAGTCAAGGGCATATTAAATGAGACGGTATATAATTTTAGGATCTTTGGGTTGGTGAGGGAGGACCTCGTGCTTATATTTTTATTCTTTTTACTTGTCGCTTTGATTTCTGGTGCTAAATTTGTTTGTTAGCTAAACATCGATTTCGTTCATCTTGTATTGAAACTGAACACTCAAGTACATGTAATAACTTTCACTACTCCACTACATGTACAAAACCATTCAAAAGCACAACTCATAGGACGGTCACGTTCACCTCCCTCAGGTTCACGGTCACTGAGTCACTTAAAATAGAAGCAAGACAGACAATGAACCAATCACAATTCACTTGAGCACTCCGCTGGATTGCTCCTGGGCTGACATAATATTGGCAAAGAATAGCGTTCGTCTATCGCGTTTATTTTTAGACTGCCTACTGTGGGCTATGTTTCGGCACTGTTCGGCAGGAGCACATTTGAAATGTGCCGTCTTATAATATTAATGTACCGCCAAAATCGCTACGAGTGTCGACATCGCTTGGGTTATCCCCAAGAGCGATTATAGGTCAGGTTACACTGTTGAATCTATTCTGTTTAACTAAAGTGCGTGTACTTTGGCATGTCATAGTAATAGTAGATGTTTTACGGCGCTATGGACACAGAAATGACAGTTATGGCGCCAGTGAGGACCTTGTTTTGATATAATATTTGGCTAGTGTTTGTTTCTGGCTTCTTTTATTTTATTATTGTGGGTGTTTTTTTTACGTAGTTTAACATAAAAAAATTTTGGGCGGCACTGCACTAACGTGCTCTATGGACGAACCGCGCCTGCATAAAGTCCATTCAGAAATTAATTTTTGAAACGATGTAAAAGGAACTGAGGGAACACAAAAAAAAAATTAAAAAATAAAAATCATGAACAGTTTCCCAACACTTAAGAGAAAAGCGGTTTCTTTTATTTCAGTCAGCCTTTTGACGAGCCCCTGAATTCATCAACACGTTGGCATACACGTTTCGAACGCAGCCAGGCAGAAACAGTTTAGCCCTGTCGTTGGTACGCACTCACCTGAGTGAATGGTGCGGCTGGGTTCTGTTGGGTGCTGTTGGGTGCTTTTGTGTGCTTTTGTGGTAGTGCGAAAAACCTCTGCAAAAAAATATTATAGCATTGCACCGTCCTTCCTGCAAGGCACTGCCAGTTCCGAGCTTTTCCGTAAACTTATGCTGATCTAAGCTGCTGTTATAATTTTTCCGAACTTTAAGTAAGCGAACCACATTGACGTGTTTTTTGGGGGGTGTGGTGTCTCACATGTTGAGGAAATGACAACGACTGTAGCTTTGGAGGAACAGTTTAGCTTAAATAAACGGGTTAACAGATGATACAACACGTCGTTGTTAAGCTCATACAGCATGCCGTAGAGAGCAGGTCATCTAATATTGACCTACGATCGGTGCCCTATCGTCCTATCTTACCGTGTTCGTAAGAATTCGTCAGTCATACCGTAACAAATAATAATA